CTTGGTTGGAGGGATCGATCGGGTTGCCATCCGGCCCCGTCCCCGGCGGAAGAGCAGGCCCCGGGCAGCCCCAGGGGGGAGGGCACCGCGTGGTGTTCTGTTCTCGTCGAGTCGTCGCGGCGGCGACCCCCGGTTGCCGACAACATGTTTTTCCTGACCATCCTGTGGTGTTGGGTCTTCGTCTTGAAGAGACAGCGCCCCGCGTTCCTCCTTCCTCCTTCCTTCCTTCCTTCCTCCTCCCCCCCTCCCTCCGCTCATCCCTGCCTCTGTCTCCCCCACCCAGCACAGCGCTTCGTGGCCCCATAGGGAGCTCCACCGAAGGCCCAATGCTACCGCCCGTATGCGTTCCCCCTGCCCAGTACAGCGCTTCGTGTCCCCACATGGAGCTCTACCGAAGGCAGTACGGTGTTTCGTGGCCCCACAGGGAGCTCCATCGAACGCCCCAGTGCTACCGCCCGCATGCGTCCCCCCCACCCACCACAGCGGTTCGTGGCCCCATAGGGAGCTCCACCGACGGCCCCAGTGCTACCGCCCGCCGTTCGCCCCCGCCTCCCCAGTACAGTGTTTCGCGGCCCCATCGGGCCCTCCACCGAAGGTCCCAATGCTGCAGCCCGCATGCGTCCCCCGCCACAGTGCAGCGCGTCGCGGCCGCATAGGGAGTTCCACCGAAGGTCCCAGCGCTACAGCCCGCATGCGCCCCCCCCACCCACAGCGCTTCGTGGCCCCATAGGGAGTTCCACCGAAGGTCCCAGTGCTAGCGCATGCGTCCCCCCCACCCAGTACAGCGTTTCGTGGCCCTTTCGGGACCTCCTCTGAAGGCCCCAATGCTACCGCCCGCATGCGTCCCTCCCGACCCAGTGCAGCGCTTCGTGGCCCCATAAGGAGCTCCACCGAAGGTCTCAGTGCTACCGCCGTTTGCGAAATAAACGCCCACGTGTGGAAGTACCGAGAGCCCCGCCCCGCGCCCCGTATTTCAATGTTGGCCACCAAACACGCCGAAGGGGAGCGCGAAGCGTTGCGAAATAAACGCACACTTATGTTGGACTGCCCAGCCCTCCCCGTCAACCTTGAAATGCGGGGGAAAGGGGGCGTGCTTCGTCGTCTTGTTTTCGATCCCTAAGATGGGCGTTTATCCCGCAAACGGCGGTACCGCATGCACACCAAGTCCAGCGCTTCGTGGGCCCATATGAAGCTCCACGGGCGGCCCCAGCGCTACCGCCCGCCGTGCGTCTCCCCCACCCAGTGTACGTCGCCTCGTGGCCCCATAGGGAGCTGCCGCCCGCATGCGTCCCCCCACCCAGCACAGCGCTTCGTAGCCCCATTGGGAGTTCCACCGAAGGTCTCGGTGCTACCGCATGCGTCCCCCACGCCAAGTGCAGCGTTTCGTGGGCCCATAGGGAGCTCCACCGACGGCCCCAGTGCTACCGCCCGCCATGCGTCCCCCCCACGCAGCACAGCGCTTCGTGGCCCCATAGGGTGCTCCACCGACGGCCCCAGTTCTACCGCCCGCACGCGTCCCTCCCCCCACCCAGTATACAGCGCTACGTGGCCCCATAGGGAACTACCGCCCGCATGCGTCCCCCCCACTCAGTCCAGCGCTTCGTGCCCCCATAGGGACCTCCACAGAAGGCCCCAATTGCACAGTCCACATGCGTCTCCCCCACCCAGTACAGCGTTTTCGTTGTCCCATAGGGAGCTCCACCGAAGGCCCTGGTGGCAAAGTTCGCCCCCACGCAATACAGCGTTTCGTGGCTTATAGGGAGCTCCCTCCGCCGAAGGCCCCAGTAGCACAGTTCGTATGCGTCAACCCCCCCACCCAGAACAGCGTGTCGTGGTCCATAGTGAGCTTCACCGAAGATGATACCCACAACTGCGGGACTCACAAGTGCAGATGGTTGGGTCCTTCGCCGGGCCACTGGGGCGTTTTTCCTCGATGTCAGCCTCTCGGGCCAGTCTTCTGCTGCCGTGCCCGTCGGAGATGGATCGGGGACGAAGAGCGGAACCCGGGCAGCGTTCCAGCAATGGTCTCGCCTTCGAGGGATCGAGAAGTTGGCATCTCCGTCTCGGCGGAAAGCGCCGACGGAAGAGCGGCGTAGGCAGAGCGAGGGGCGGCGCAGACGCCGGTGGAGGCCAGCGAACGTAGAAGATGCGCCTCCAAGAGATGTTTTTTTGTCAATTCCCAGACTTTCTAGAACTCGCCACGGGACTCGTGCTCGCCTTCGCGTCGATGCGGCGGCGGCACCCCCTTGCTGCGGGCGCTCGGGATTGAGTGCCGCCGAGGTGTCCCACGACCAGCGTTATAGGCACACACACACACGACGCTGAAGTGATTGCCACGCTGGGCTCAGGAGGAGCTACAGTCGGGGCCCTGAAGAAGGAACCCTTTTCGTTGGGGAGGGGCTCGGTGTTCCTTGATTGTTCTGCAGTTTGCCTTCCGTTCTCCTGAGGTTGTCCGTGGGAAATCGAAGTTTAACTTATGAGAAAAAGGGGCCTCGTTCATTTAGGGCTCCTTAGGTCAACGCCCCGACTGTGTGGTCCTCGGGCGCTCTCTTCTGCATCCGGGTCGGGGGGAGCTGCTCTCGGCCATGGGCTCGCCGTGGCTGGATCGCGAAGAGCGCGTCGTTCGCGATTCAGCGCTCACGCGGCGGCGACCCCGTGCCACGGGCGTTCAGGGCTGAAGGCCGCCAGTGTTAAGTCGGGCGTGTCCCTCTACAGGAAGAATCTTTTTAAACAAAAAAATAGTCAAGAAATTGTCCGGGAACGATGTTCCCAGTATTTTCCAAATTCCTGAGCATCTTTTCACAATTTGTTCAATGTTTCCTACGAAATCCCCCTGTAGGGGGACGTGCCCGACTTAACGCCAGTGTCCCATGGCCTGCCAAAGTGGAGCGGTCTGGCGATCGAAAGCCGCCGATCGTTCAGAGGCGAACGCTCCGCGCAGTGCCAGAGACAAACGGCGGGGCAGTCACGACACAAACTTCCGATACATCTATCCAGGTCCGGCGCTGCAAAACATGATAGAACATCTTACAAAATCACGACCAGAGCCGTAGACCCCATCTCTCTCTGCTGACTCCATCCCTTTGCCGCAGATTTTGGGCCGGATCGATCTGTGATGGTCTTGGGGCACGAGTCTGGGCGCAAACGCCCCGTGCGAGAAACGCGCCACGCCCGGATCTCCGGGGCTTCTCCGCTGCCCCATGTCTTCGGCGAGGCTCCGCGGCGACTGCGCGCAAGGCTCGCCCTCTTGGGCTGTCCTTCCCTTGGCCTCCGCCGGCCAGGGGCGGCGACGGCGCGCAGGAGAGGGCAGCCCCCCGGACGGGCCCCATCCCCAGCCCGTCGGCCGCCGAGCGCGGCCTGGGCCCGAGCCCGCACCCAGGCCTCGGAGGGCATGGTGACTTCGGTCTCGGCGCCTGCCCGGGATGCCGGCCTTCTCGAGGAGCCTTCGCGGGCCTCGGGGCCGGCAGGAGTGGATTTGGGACTCGAGAAGCGTGCACTTGTTGCCCTCCTGGGCCAGAACGCGCGTTGTGCCCCCAGCCCTGCCCTGCCCCTCCTCCTCCCCCTCCCCCCCCCCCCCCCTCCCCCCCCCCCCCCCCTAACAGAACGCTCCCCCCCTCCGTGCGTCCCCAGCACTGCCGCAGTGCGTCCGGCACCACAGTCTGGGGGCTTGGGCGAGGGCGCTAATTACGTTGTGCCCCCTTCCCGTCCCCCCCCCCTCTCCCCCCCCAAAAAAAAACACGCCCGTTGTGGCCGCAATTAAAAATGCACTCAAAGCTGGCCCTGGGGAACGGGCCGGGATCTCTGGGGCGGTGGATGGCAAAAGCCATGCCGGCGGAGGTCCGGGACTGGGGCCAGACTCTCACCACGCACGGCCAGTTGAGCCCGTGCGGCGGCCGAACGGGCTCAGGCGCCGAGCGGGGACCTTGGGGAGAGCGAGGTGGGTGTCGCCCTAGGTTTGATCATCGAGAACACAAGAACCCCTAGCCCGAATAACACCCTGAAGACGTGGCCTCACTTAGGCCCCCGACTTCGCATTAAGAATCATGATTCTGGGCGGGCTGGCCTGCTACATCCGCAGACATGGCCCCCTCATCCCTGATGTCTGTGGCCCTCCCAACTTGGGCCCCCTCCCAGAGGGTTAGGGTACTGCTGTTGCGTATCGTCTAGGGGATAGCGGCAAGATTCCTGAGACCTGGGCGACGCCAGACAACATTGTGACGGAATTATGTTTGACGCTGTTGGGGCATCTGGAGGCCGTGTGCCGGCTGCCAGGGCCGTTGGACATCAGCCCCAGGTTGAAAAGCCTGCCCCGAGGAAAGGGTCGACATCTGCGGGGTGATGGGCTTGTATTCCACCACCACCACCACCATAAGTTGAAGGGGGAGGGGGTCCTCCTCCTCCTCTTCGTCCTCCTCCTCCTCTTCGTCCTCCTCCTCCTCCTCCTCCTCTTCGTCCTCCTCCTCCTCCTCCTCCTCTTCGTCCTCCTCGTCCTCCTCCTCCTCCTCCTCCTCCTCCTCCTCCTCCTCCTCCTCCTCCTCCTCCTCCTCCTCCTCATTCCCCCCATCCAACTTATGGTGATGGTGGTGGAAAACAGGCCCATCAAAGCCAGCCCGAGGAAAAGGGTCGAGATCTGCGGGGGCCTGCGTCACGGACCAAGAGGCGACGTCGAAGGAGAGGGAAGTGTTCCAGTGATGCTTCTACACGGGGGGGCGATCTTTTTTCCAAGAGGGCCGATCCCCTCGCCCCATGCTGTTCGGCGGGCCGCAAGAGGTCGGAGGCCGAGGTGGAGGTTGGCACCAGCACCACTATCGGGGCGTGGCTCCACCGAGGGACGATGACCCTGATCTCGGCGATGGTGGTAATGCTCGGGCCTTGAGGTGGCCGAGAGAGCACCACCAGCACCGACAGCCAGGATCGTCTTCCCCGGGTGGGGGCAAAAAACGTTGCGTTGGTGCTGGTGCCGAATGCTCGGACCCACCAAACAAATAAGATGCTCGAAGGCTTCGCAGCGATGGTCGAGTCCATCCAGGTGAGCTTCTCGGGCCTCTACGTCGGGGGCATCTGCCGTGCCCTCGGGAGACACATCCGGCAGGCCCAGGCCAGGGGCAGATCGCTCCGGGTCGCCCCTGGAACGGCCGCTGCGCCCCGCTGGCCGGAGGAAGCCAGGACACAAGGCATGCGGCAGGCCCGAGGCATAAGATCGAGGTCGGTTCTGGGAGGGTGCCCTGATGTTTTTCGTGCTTGTTGATTGCTTAGCACTGCTCGGACGTGTGCGTCTCTTCCTCGGCGAGTACCGTCGAGGAGCATCCTGGATCATCTGGCAGCAGAAGCACGCACGGGATCGAAACATGTACTGGGAGTGGACGCCCGAGCGATGGCGAGATTATGGTACCCTCGGTGATCTTCTGGTGTACGTAGGGTGTTTTGGCCACCAAGAGATATCATGTTCTTGAGGGATGATGCTCTGTCGTAGGTCCGGCCGTAAGCATGAGCTTTCGGAAATCCACCACGCTTTCTCGGATCTGCGCTGGACCCCCCTGGCGGCGCCTCCGGCGCCGTCCCTGGCGTGCCCCACGCGCCACGGGGGGGGGGAGCCCATCGCAGATCCAAGAAACCCGCGCGGACCCTCGACAGTGTCTGTTCATGCTGTTTTTTCTTTCCCTGGGTAGGGCCCAGAGGGGGGCGCATCGGCCCCCAATCGCCCATGCATCGCCGATAAGGGCTCGATAGCCAACCCCCGCCCAGAAGCGCCGGAGGCGCCGCCTGGGGGGGGCCCAGCGCCGATCCAAGACATCTGCGCGGACCTCCGAAGGTTAAGTCGGGTACGTCCCTCTACAGGAGGAATCTTCCAAAATTAGTAGTACAATAGTCTCTGGGGAGGATTCTTCGACTATTCGTGGCAATGTTTTGGGATTCTTGTTTGACCATTTCTCATTGCTCGTCCAGAATCCCCCTGCAGGAGGAAACGCCCGACCTATTGGAGGATGACGATTAATAAATGACCGGGGGTCGTGTTCACGCGGCGGCGCCCGGGATGACGATTAGAAAATACCGGCCGCGGGCTGGAAAACTATTTTTCTAAATCGTTCTCCTCCAGTCAGAAGGTTGTGCAGGAATAGCAGAAAACCATGTTTGTTTAATCGTTCTCTCCCATTTTTTAATAATCGTCATCCCGCATTGCTCCGAAGGTTCCCCGAAAAATAGTCCGTGGAGGATTGTTCGACTATTCGTGACCACTTTGGGATTTTTGCTGGACTATTTCTTATTGTTCGTCCAGAATCCCCCTGCAGGAGGACACGCCCGACCTAATCCGAAGGTTCCCCGGAGCAGTGCCTTCGCTCAGGGATGCCTGCGTCGCCCACGGAGGCACGGGGGGCCCGTGGGCGGCCCCGTCCCCGTGCGTCGCCACCGCCCCGTCGCACCTCCCCTCGCGCTGTGTTGCCGTCGCACTGCACTGCAATCGCAGCGCAGAGCACTGCAATCTCCATGACGGCCCAAGTGGCCTCCAAGACGGCCCCAAGAGGGCCCCAAGACGGCCCAAGAGGCCTCCAATACGTCCAAGATGGTCTCCAAGACGCCCAAGATGGCCTCCAAGACGGCCCCGATGGCCTCCAAGACGGCCTCCAAGACGGTATCGCACTGCACTGCACTGCCTTGCATGGGTGCGCGTCGCACTATCTCGTTCTGCAATGTTTCTCGTAGTGCTTTGCTGTGCGTTGCCGTGCGTTGCTTTGCGTCGCTCCCCGCCTTACTTCGCAGTGCTGGGCATTGCTTTGCGTTGCTTCTCATGGCTTTTCGTCCTTCTGCATTGCATTGCATTGCTCTGCATTGTTGCGCGTTGCTTTTTGTTACTTCGCGCAGACTTGCATGGCCTTGCGCCGCATAGATCTGCACCGTGTGGATTCGGCCACCCAGATTGCACCACACTGATGGCATGACCCAGACGTGCACCGCATACGCTGTGACACATCCCTGTTTCGGGCCCACGCTCGCGAACATCATGCATCCATGTGTCTTGTTGCTCTGCTCTGGACGTGACCCCCCCCCCACCCGGGCCTGCAAGCTCTCGGAGCGCCTGGGTGCCTGCGGATGTCTCTGCCCCGCCTCCGCCCCCGAAGGATTCGGGAGCCCGACGGCCAGTACAGTGCTTAGCCCAAATCCCTCATCAATCGACCCCCCCCCCCCCCCGAAAAAAGCCGCACCCCCCTCCAAATGCGAACCTGATATTCCGGACCCCCCTCTTCGACGGGGCACCTTAATGAACCGGACCCCCGAAGTTCCAATCCGAAGAAAGCGCCCTAGTAAACCGGACCCAGGGGACGATGAATAAGGGATTTGGAGTAAGCTTCACCTGAGTTGTTCGAGCTTGAGCTTAGAATTCCGCGCGAGAGCCAAGCGTGGGAGCCCAGCGTGGGTTTGGGGAGGTTCAGGGAAGGTGGAAGCGCACATGTCGGCGACCACCGCACGAAGCCAATATGTGTTTGCACTTCAGGTTTTTGGGACACTGCAGTAGTTGTTACATTGCAGTTCTTTTTGTTCGCTGTGGTGGCGCCTGAGTCACTCGTCCGTCAGATGGCACGCCAGCAAAATTTTACACCAACAACTTGGGTGGAACATCGACGTCGCGGCCAGCTGAGACAGCAGTGGACTACAGAAGTTTACAATTTTTGTCAACACAACTGAGAACCCTGCTGCTATTTAGTTCGGCCGTTCTGTCTTCTCTCCTTTCCCCTCCTCTCCCAGCGCGATTCTGAGCTGCAGTGTGAGACATGTCTTACTCCGGCGGCCTTCAGCCGTTGTCGTGCCAACGCATCTTGCTGGATGTACGGCTTGTTGCGATGCGGTGCAGCGGCGTTGCTCGAGCTGGCGCTTCGGATTCCGCGTGAGAGCCAAGCGCGGCGTGGGGAGCTTCAGGGAGGGTTGAAGCGTACAGGTCGGAGAACACCACACGAAAACAGCGCGTTTGCATTGCAGTTGGTTTTGCATTGCAGTGTGGTGTCGGCATCGCATGTTTGTATTGCGCTGTAGTGGCGTTGCTCGAGCTTGAGATCTGGAAGTCCGCGTGGGAGCCAAGCGTGGCTTGGGGAGGTTCAAGTAGGGCCGACGCACGCATGATGACGACCACGACACGAATACAGTTTTGGTTTGCATTTCAATGTGGTTCTGCATTGCAGCTTTTTGCGCGCTGGGGTGGCGCTGCGAGTAGAAGGATTTGGATCCCGCGTGCGAGCCGAGCGTGGTGTGTGGAGGTTCAGGGAGGGTTGAAGCGCACATGATGGCGCCGACCACACGAAAACATGGTTTATTGCATTGCCGTTGATATGTCTGCATTGCGTTTTCTCCTCACCCTCCCTTGGATGAGTTCTCGTTGTGAATAGAGCAGTGGGGTCTGCACCTTCTCTTCCTCCTCCTCCTCGCCCCCCCCCCCACTCTCCTCTCGGCTCTCTCCTCTCGCATCCCTTTTGGTGGCCGCGACGCGACATGTGAAACTGTCGCCACTTTCGGGGGCTGCTGGGGGAGCCCGCGCAGTGGGGCCCGACGCAGACCCAAACGGGGCCCCGACATCCCTGGGGGGTTGCAAAGTGTGAAACCGTCGCCAATTTCGCGGGCTGCTGGTGGAGCCCGCGCAGTGGGCCCCCAGGCAGACCCAAACGGAACCTCGCCATCCCTGGGGGGCTGCGAAGTATTCGAGGGTTGTTGGGGGATCTCTCACAGTGGGGCCACACCCAGACCCAAACGGGACCTCGTCATCCTTGGGGGGCTGCGAAGTGTGAAACTGCAACCACTTTCGAGGGCTGCTGCGGGGCTCGCACAGTGGGGCTTCACGCAGATCCAAACGGGACCTCGCCATCCCTGGGGGGCTGCGAAGTGTGAAATTGTCGCCACGTTCGAGGGTTGTTGGAGGATCCATCACAGTGGGGCCCACGCAGATCCAAAACTGACCTCGCCATCGGTGGGGGGCTGCGAAGTCTGAACCTGTCACCACTTTCGATGGCTGCAGGGGGAGCCAGCACAGTGGGGCCACACGCAGATTCATCTGGGACCTCGCCATCCCTGGGGGTCTTGCGAAGTGTGGAACAGTCGCCACGTTCGAGGGCTGGTGGGGGATCCATCACAGTGGGGCCACACGCAGACCCAAAAGGGACCTCGTCATCCTTCGGGGGCTGCGAAGTCTGAACCTGTCACCATTTTCGAGGGCTGCTGGGGGGCTCGCACAGTGGGGCTGAACGCAGATCCAAACGGGACCTCGCCATCCCTGGGGGGGCTGCGAAGTGTGAAATTGTCGCCACTTTCGAGGGCTGCTTGGGGGGCCAGCGGGCCTCGCCATCATTGGGGGGGTGGCTGCGAAGTGCGAAACTGTCGCCACTGTTGAGGGCTGCTGGAGGGGGGGGCCAGCACAGTGGGGTCCCACGCAGACTTCGAGGACCTCGCCAACCATAAGGGGGCTGGCCGCGCAGAAACGCGACACTTGATTGGCTGGTTGCGTCTGCGCCTATGTAACCTTATCTTTCCAATGCTCCATCATCTTGCTGCTGCTGCCGAGGTGATTGTGTTTCCGCCCCGATGTCTTCCTGTTGTTTCCCCTTCCCAACACAATGCCTCCTGGCCTTGTGTACCTCTGTTCTGCGAGTCGACCGCGCACACTTCGCACGATATAGATATCCGCCGTGCATCGTCTCTTGCAGCGTTGCTGTCACACCATTGTCGGCATACCTTGTATCAGCCGTTGGTGCCGATGGGATTGGGACGTCGCAGGTTATTTTGTTAGTTGCAGCTTTCTCTGTGCATTGCACTTGCATTGCAGGCTTTTCTGTTGCGCTGTAGTGGCGATGCTTGACTTGGGATTCCGAGTGGGAGCCTAGCGCGGTTTGGGGGGGGTCCGGAAGGGGTGAAACGCACATGTCGGCGACCACCACACGAAGACACGCTCTTGTTGCAGCAATTGCTTCTGCGTTGCAGGTTTCGTGTGCGATGTGGTGGCGCTGCTAGAACGCTTGGGAATCCGCGTGAGAGCCAAGCGCGGCTTGGGAAGGTCCAAGGACGGTTGAAGCGCACATGCCGGCGACGACAACACGAACACAGCTGTTTTGCATTGCGTGCGTTTTGCTATTGCAGTTGTTCGATTGGCATTGCAGTTGTTGCTGTTGCGCCGTAGTGGCGCTTCTAGAGCTTCAGCTTTGGATTCCGCGTGCGGGCCAAGCGCGGTTGGGGAGTATCATGGAGGGTGGAAGCACACATGTCGGCCACGACGACACGAAAACATTGCTGTTTGCGTTGAAGTTGTTCTGCGTTGCCGTTTTGTTTGCGCTGTAGTGGCGCCTGGCTGGCTGGTCTGGCTGCGTGGTCTGACGGGTCTGGCTTGCTGGTCTGGCTGGTCTGACTGTTTGGTCTGGCTGGTCTAGTTGGTCTGGTCTGGTCTGGTTGATCTGCTTTGTCTGGTCTGGGCTTTCCTGGTTGGAGTGGGCACATTGGCTCGTTCAGTCTGGTCCAGGTTTCGTTGGTATGAACGGCTAGCTGGCCTGGTCGGTCTACATGGCTGGTCTGGTGGGTCTACGTAGCAGGTCTGACTGGCTGGTCTGGCTATAGTCTGCTTGGTCCGGGTGGTCTGGGTGGCAGGCGTGGCTTGTCTAGTTTGCTTACTTACAGCCCATCCACAACAACACAATATTAGTTGCATTGTAGTTCGGGTGATTAGGTTGATCTGATTAGCCTGGTCTGGGCTCGTCCACTGGGTCCGGAACAGAATGCCCCGACGCCGCGGACAAATCCCACGAGCCGGTAAGAAGTGCCGTCGAAAGGGTCCCAGAAAACACAGAAACCCACAAGCGGGCCCCAAAGGACCCCCAGTATGATAGTGTTGGGGTTTGCTTGCGGAGCCCTCTCGGGTCTCTTTCGATTCCTCTCGGTGTGCTTTGGATTCTTTTGAAGACCCTTTGGAACCGAGACTGCAGAGGGCTCCAAGAGATTTCCAGGAGATCCCCAAGAGGGTCCCGAGATGGCTTCAAGAGGGTTCTAAGACGGCCCCAAACAGTATCATACCAGGGGCCTCTGGTATGATACTGTGGTGGTCTGTTTGAGGGGCCCTCTTGAGGCCTCTTTGGGTTTTTTCGGACCCTCGTCGTCGGAGCTTTAAGTCGGGCGCGTCCCTCTACAGAAGGAAAATTCAAAAATGGTCCACAAATCGTCAGTGGACGATTTTTTAATGTTTGCGGATGTTTGAAACATTTTGATTGTCTTCTTCAAGATCCGACCTAATCGTAGCTAGGACTGGGAACGATAGCGCTCCTGCGTCACTTCTGGCTGCGGCAGACAGGGAGGTGATAGGGGGGAGGGCACATCAGCAACCATTGCAATTCTTGTGCCCCAGCGCACAGAAGCTCACAGGTTTTCTCTATTACACGTTTGCTGGAAAATATGGTTGTCTTATTTTCTGTCACATTGCAGAAATCGTTTTGAAATTCGTAATGTGGCGGCGAGCATTGGCTTGTTTAGAGCTGAACATGCATGAAACCCGTCTTTGGATGTTAAAATCAATACCATAGCATTCCCCAAACAAGCGTAGAAACGAAAGGGCGGAGAGGAAGGAACACGAGGGACACGCGGAGCAGGAAGGCTTGCCGCCGCTACGCCCGCTGCCGTCGCTGTCGTGCTGTTGGTCGACACCCGAGATCCGTTCATGTCCGGGTGGGTGCGTTGTCTCCTATTTGCCTTCACCTCCCGTTCCCTCTTCTGGCGTCGTTGCTCAGGTTGGCCCAAAAGGGGGTCCAGCGACAAGGGGGTGGTGCAGTAGATCTGGTGCAACATATTTGTGGGATTGCGATACATTTGACATTCCAGGGCGCACATGTATTGCTGGATTTTTCGCGAGCAGTGCATTACTTGCAATACAACGCAATACAATTCTCCAGAGCAGTACATTTGCCATGCAATTGCCCCAAATCTATTGCACCACCCCCTTTTTTCAGCTGGACCCCTTTTTGGGGTCACCCGAAGTTGCGTCCCTCCAGCGCCGGCCCTCGAGCCCTCTTGAGGGCCTCTTGGGGGCCTCTTGGGGCTCCTTGGCGGCGTCTTGGGGGCCCCCAGGGTCTCTTGGGGGGCTTTGGGGGGCCTCTTGGGGCGGCGTTGCCGGTAAAAAGACAAAGGCAATCATATTGAGCCCGAAGTCCGTTCAAGCACGGGCACCAGAGCTCTTCGCCTCGAGCGGCGCAGGAAGCAGGGACTCGATCGGGCTGCGAGCGGCCCGGCCCCGCCCGTCGGCCGCTCGGGACCGGGGCCGAGGGCGACCGGCCCCTCGGTCAGCCAGGGTCCCTTGCGCCCTGGGACGGGTTCAGACGTCCGCAGGCATGATGTCGGGGGCGAGCGGGTCCGAGTCCCGAGTGGGGCGTGCCCGAAGGTTTTTTTTTTCGTAGCTCGGCGCTGGTTTCGCCGGTGGAAAAAACACATCATTGATGTTTTCTCCATCCGCGGCCCCAGAGGTCGGAGGTCCCGACCCCTCCCTTCCCCAGGGGTGGTCGTTCGTCCCGGATGAGTGTCTGAGCGGCCCGGGCCCGATTCAGAGAGAAGCGCCTGGATTGGAACATCACGCGGGCGCTCGGACATTTGGTAGTTCGATTGCACGGGCAGTCGCGCGGAGGTTACCCGGGTAAGGTCGCGCGCAAGCGCCTTTGGTTCCAATGCGGCGTGCCACGCTGGCACCCCGCGAAAACCACCGCGTAAGGTCGCTATGCCATTGCGCGCAAGGCCAGTTTCGTCCCGTTGCTCCTATCCGCCGAAGCCCGAGTTAGGCCCCGGACCACGTCTTGCTGCTTCGTTTTGTTCGCGCTGCGTGTCGACCCGTGCTGGCCCTGAGGCCCAGAACCTGGCGAGGGCGCCCGGTATCAAAACGCAAGCCAGATCCCGAGACGGCCTGTTCGGTCCGCCAGGGTGTACCGCGCCGTGGTTTCGACTGTGTGTAACAGTGACGCTTCGCCGGACTGACTTCTGGTGCGGGCTCCGGGAGGGGCTTCCCCCATCGCCAAACGCGCTTCGACAGTAGCGGTTTGCGCGCTTGCGTTTGGGTCCCCCCGCGGCTCCCAAAAAAGCCGCGCACCAAAGATCACTCTTACCCAGGGTCGCTCTTGTCTAGTCCGCCCAGATGGGTTCCGAGCAGATGGGGTCGGAGGATCGCTCCGCATCGCCGATGCATCGACGATGCGGCTCGATGTGGAGCCCACTCTCTTTCACGTTGACGCCGCCGATGCATCGCCCACGTCGACGATGCGTCGTCGGTGCATCGCCGATGCATCGCCGATGCGTCGCCGATGCATCGGCGATGCGGCGCGATCCTCCGACCCCATCTGCTCGGACCCCATCTGGGAGGCTTCGATCCTGCGCGTGGCCGAATGGTTTGGATCGGGCCAGATCGGGACAGGGGGGCGGGCCACGGATCCGGTTGGGCCTTCCGAGAGAGGGGCTGGCGCCGAGGCTGGGCCGTGTTCGGGGTGCTGGCGTGGGCCGTGGCCCAGGCCGCAGGGGCCGCTCGGAACGGGGCCTTGGGCGGACGGTGTCGGAGGATCGCCCTCCACAAGCCCATCTTACCCAGATCTCCGACGATGGGGTTGTTTCAATCCTGTCGTGCTTCCTAAACTTCGGCCCGCGGATGCCGCCAGTGGGGCCCCAGGGCCATCAGGAATGGATGTGGGACGACACACGAAGGTACTGAGGGCCGCGCTTTGACAAAAGACAGATCGGCGGATGTCTTGGTCGTGATGTCGAGAAAATCGGGTTCCAGGTTGCGCCGCATCGGCGGCGCGGCGCGATCCTCCGGCCCCATCTGTTCCCGCCCCCATTCTGGCGGCCCTGGGCAGACGTTCTTCGTCAAGGAGTCGCCCAAGTGCACCAGGAAGGAAAGCAAGGAGCTTGCGACCTTGGTCGTCGTGGCCTCGACCATTTGCATGGGGTGCTTTTCTCATTGGGCCTTGTACATCGCTGTGTTTGCTACCGGTTCCGATGTCCTGGCGTCTTCTGGTTCGGTCGCCAGTTGTTGTTTGGTTTCGTCGCGATGTGGTTTTGGCTATGGTTCCAGCTCCGAGTTCTGTGCCGTTCCGTTTCCGTTCTGGTAAGCATCTGTTGTATCGATGTCATGGTCGAGGGCCAGATGTTTGGAAACGGTCGCAAACAACATAAAAGCATACCGTTTTTGGGGGCCACCATTACTCGCAGAGTGCCGATTCGCAAATGTCAGACAAAAAGCACATGCTCGCCTCGATGTAGTGGAACGTGAACCCATGTAGATCCTCCGCGGCGAATCCAGGCCAGTTGCGAGTCGCTATTTCCCAACCATCCCGTGGTGTTGGCTCCTCGTTTTGAAGAGACGGTCCCCGCGTTCCTCCTCTCCTCCTCCTCCCCCTCCTCCCCTCCCTCCTCCTTCTTCCATGCGTTTCACCTACCCAGCACAGCGCTTCGTGGCCCCATAGGGAGCTCCACCGAAGCCCCCATTGGGACCGCCCGCATGCGTTCGCCACCACCCAGCACAGCCCTTGCTCCCTGCGTTTCACCGACCCAGTACAGCGTTTCGTGGCCCCATAGGGAGCTCCACGGAAGGTCCCAGTGGCACCGCCCGCATGCGTCCGCCACCACCCAACACGGCCCTTGCTCCCTGCATTTCACCACCCAATACAGGGCTCCACGGAAGGTCCCAGTGGCACCGCCCGCATGCGTCCGCCACCACCCAGCACAGCCTTTGCTCCTTGCGTTTCACCCACCCAGTACAGGGTTTCGTGGCCCCATAAGGGGGCTCCACCGAAGGTCCCAGCGGCACCGCCCGCATGCGTCCGCCACCACCCAGCACAGCCCTTGCTCCCTGCGTTTCAGCCACCCAGTACAGCGCTTCGTGACCCCATAGGGGGCTCCACCGAAGGTCCCAGTGGGACCGCCCGCATGCGTCCGCCACCACCCACCACAGCCCTTGCTCCCTGCGTTCCACCCACCCAGTACAGCGCTTCGGGGCCCCATAAGAGGGCTCCACCGAAGGCCCCAGTGGCACCGCCCGCATGCGTCCGCCACCACCCAGCACAACCCCACCCAGTACAGGGTTTCGTGGCCCCATAGGGGGCTCCACCGAAGGTCCCAGTGGCACCGCCCGCATGCGTCCGCCACCACCCAACACAGCCCTTGCTCCCTGCGTTTCAGCCACCCAGTACAGCGCTTCGTGGCCCCATAGGCCATCGAAGAAGATATTCACAATTGCGGTACTCACAACTGCACATGGTTGGGTCTTACGCCAGGCTAATTTTGCGTCTGCGCGTGGTGGAACGCGCTCGTCTAGAGGTGTTTCTGGGCGTTCGTCTACATGCACCAGATGAACCCGCTGATATACCCCTCGCACACCGCCCGGTGAGCGCAGACCAGCGGCGTCGGGCCGCCGCCCACCTTGGGCTCCGGCGCGCGCGCGCTACACCCCCCCCCCTCTGAGCGACATTCTAGCCCTCCCAGATGTGGTCTGAGCAGATGGGGTCGGAGGATCGCGCCGCACCGACGATGCATCGGTGATGCGGCTCGATGCGGAGCCCGATTTTCTCCACGCCCACGTCGCCGGTGCATCGCCGACGTCGCCGGTGCATCGCCGATGCATCGCCGATGCGTCGGCGATGCGGTGCGATCCTCCGACCACACCTACTCCGACCTCATCTGGGAGGCTCCTAGAGATCGGGCAGCTCCCGGGGTGTTCACCACCAGAGCGGTCCCCAGTCCCCCGAGGGCCGAGGTTTCCTGATGGAAGCTCGAGGGCTTCTCGGAGACATGTGGGGCATTCCAGGCATGGCCATGCCTTCGAGGATCGAAGGAGGCGTCATCTCTTCCGCCGCGGAAGGCGGCGGAAGGTCGGCGGAGGTAAAACGAGGCCGCCTCCGCTGGCGGAAGCCGGCGGAAGGGCGGCGGAGAGCGGCGGAGGCTAAAGATGTTTTCCCAAGAGGTGACAAGAACGTTTTGGGGTTCAGGGTTTCCATGGTCGCCTACATGTTTCGAGCGGCAGCGACCACAGCGCGGGCATGCACGGTGGAGGCCGCCTCCCTCTCGAGGGCGCCCCTGCAAGCGGGGTGTCAGTAAACGGGGCGATGTCTGAGGGGCCTCTACGAGCGAGTACAGGGCGACAGGGCATCTACCTCGCACGAGTGCGCGATACATCCGGACGACAAAAAATCATCGACACAGCATCCTAACTCTGGGCGGGGGGGATGCCCTCGCACTTGTGCGCGGCAGATGAAATTCTCGAAGGCACAATTGAACACGCACCCTAGGCTACCGCCCCGTTTACAAACGTTCCCATTTGCAGGTGATCGTTTTCTCATTCAGTGTTTTGCCGATCGGCGCGGGCCCTTGGCTGTTATTTGGCGCCTGTCTCGAGCGGGTGGAGTCCCCCCAGAGGCAGCACTCTTGCAACCAGTCGCGCTAAGCAGAGGTCTGGAGCCAGACCCCCCCCCTCTCACCCCTTCCGCCCAATGTCGAAACGCCGAATAACAAAAAAACAAACAAACAAAAAAACAGAGCAAAACAAAAAAACGCTCACCATGGGCTTGGGCTAGCTCAGGTCGGCGCTGGCCCGGGTCAGCCAAGGCCGCGCTGCGAACCCCGGCCGGCCGCCCAGCAGCTCCACGCCAGGGTCAGCGGACGGCGGAGAGGGTGGTCGCCCCCTCTTTGGGGCCTCTTAGGGGCCTCTGGGGGCCTCTTGGGGGGAGTCTGGACATTCGTTGATCGAAATTCGCCCCGACCGTGTCTCGACATCCGTCTCAGTCAATATCGCCCCAGGCGCTGGTTTCAAACATGTGATCGTAAACGCAGCCTCAGACTCGGCAAACCACGGGCCTCCCGAGCAGAGGCACGCGGGGGCGATGGGGGGGGCGGGGACGCATATGGGGGGGGCCTCCTGGGGGCCACTCTGGGCGGAAGGCTCGGATGTTCCCTCTTTTGGGCCCATCTTGGGGCCGTCGTGGGACTCTCTTGGGCCATTTTGGGCGCCGCTTCGGCTGTCTTGGGGCATCTTGAGCCGCTGTTGGGCCGTTAGGGGGCCCCTTTGGAGGAACGGGGTCGATTGCGCGGACAGTCGTGCGCAACCTTCCAGCACAAGGTCGCGATGGTCCCCGGCAGTCCAGAGCCTTTCCCCACGGCCAGCGTTTCTCGCCGAGCGCGTTCCACTGCTCGCAAAGTGCCTACTCGCAAACGTCCGAAAACAAACCTGATTGCTTTGATGTGATTTATCCTAGATCCCCCGCGGTGGATCCAGGCCACTTGCGAGTAGTTACTTTGCGAGTAGAGGAACGCGCTCGTCGAGTTTCTTCCTGAGTAGTTTTGTTGACGGTACTGGGGCTCAGCGAGGGCCCTTAGCGGCCGAGAACGGCGAATTTCTTATGTTTTATGTTTCTTTTCGTCGAAGGTCTTGGGAAGGGATTGGCTGAACCCCGTCAGCGCTGATCCGTAGTAATTCGGGGAGACGTAAGACTCAAGTACGCCGGAACTCGGGTTCGACTAATTACGCTTTTTGACGGGACCTCCCTGGATTTTGACAGTCCAGTCTTGGCGGGCTGTCTGCAGCCGGAGTTCGCGTTAAGTTTCAGAGTGCCTTGACTCCGGATCCGCCCTACTTTGGGTTAATTCGTAAGTGGGGCTTGGAATTTCCGGCGTACTTTTCAAGCCCCGCTGGTGCCAATTTCCGCCCTACTTTTCTGTTGCTGTTTCTGTGGATTCCCGCCCTATTTTATGTTGGGTGCAGCAATTTCCGCCCTACTTTTTCGGCTCCTTATAGGTGGATTTCCGACGCATTTTTAAGTTGGAAAAAAAAGCTTCAGTAGGGCGGATTTGGAGTCAGGGTGGGTCGCGTCATTTTCTTGACGGCCCCGTCGGGCCAACCCGAGCCCTACGTCTCCCCGACGCGTGCGCCACAGCCCCCAGTCGGCGCTCACAGCGCGCGCCTCCCATCGGCTCCGGCAGCATGCCGCTCATCGGTTTTGTGCCGCGTCTCGGCGGCCAGGTGTTGTCCCGGGCGGAGCAGGCCGCGCGGCTCGAGAAATAGCTTCCGTGCCAAGGGTGAAGCTCGGGGGGAAGGTTAGGGGGAATATCAAGGGAGGACAAAAACACCCCGACCCCCAGAGTCGGCGTTCACCAAGCAGCCTTGGGCGTTTTTCCAAACAGCCCTGCCCTGTTCGGCCCATCCCCTGGGCGCGTCACATAGAGGCTCCGCTCCTCGGGGTGCTTATTATGATGTTTTTTTTTTCTGCCGTCTAGAGTAAGTTCAGCGAGGTGTGTGTATGTGTGTGTGCGTGCGTGCGTGTAAGTGTGTGTGTGTGTGTGTGTGTGTGCGTGGTAGTGTGTAAGTGTGTGTGTGTGCGTGGTAGTGTGTAAGTGTGTGTAAGCGTGTGGTAGTGTGTGTTTGAAAGTGAAAGTGTAAGTGTAGGTGTAAGTGTAAGTTCAAGTGTAAATGTAAGTTCAAGTGTAAGTGTGAGTGTAATTCCAAGTGTGAGTGTACGTGTACATGTAAGTGTAAGTATGTGTGTGCGCCTGTGTGTTTGTGTGTGGTTGTGTGTGATTGTGTGTGCTGTGTGCGGATGCCGTCAGAGGCCCGATCGCCCACTCCGCCGAGGAGCGTGCGGTTTCGCGATAGGGGGGTGCATCGCCGATCCATCGGCGATATGTCGGCGAGTCCAGGTCGGCGTTTCCCCCCTGGGCCAGCCCCCCTTGTCCTTGCGTAAGGTTTCCACAGATGTGTACGCATGTGTGTATTCCTGTGTAGACCAGCCAACGCTTGACATTTTCTCTGCATAGCGCCTTGCCAGGTCCTGGCCCTGGTCTTGGCTTCGACGTTCCTTCTCATCTTGGAGCCCTGGAAGGGCCCAAGCTGGCGGGCCATGTCGCAAGCGAGAGGACCGCCGACCCAAACGCGCGCGTGGCCGGGCCGATCCGAACGGGCGGGCGGGCGGGCAGGCCCTGATGGTCGGGCGGGGCAGTAGAGCGGGCGGGGCAGCCCGCAAGCGAGCGGGCTGACCATCACGCAGGCGGGCAGGCCCTGACGGTCGGGCGCGGCATGACAGCGGGCGGACCAGCCTGTCAAGCGAGCATGCAGCTCCCAACGCGAGGGCGGGCGATCGGATCATGGCGGGCGGACCCGAACGGGCGGGCGATGGAGGAAGGCACGCTCGGAAGCCGCCTCAGAGGTCTGGACGTTTTCGGCCCCGCCCCCGTTCCTTGTCGGCCCTGCCCGCCTCCTTGTTCTCCTCATCGCCATCCCCTTCTCATCCTCCCCCTCCTGCTCTTGTGACGTGGCTCCCTAGGACCGACACGTGCCATCTGACTGTCGTCGTGCCGAGTTTCCAGAGGCGCTGTTTCTCTCGAGGTCGCCCTCGAGGAGCCCTCCTTGCGGCGAAGCGCAGGCGGGGGAGGAGAGGGCCCTCGCGTGACCATGGGGCAGGAGGCAGGAGCGAGCGCAGCGGCCAGGAGGCGGCTCCAGGAGCAGGCGCGTTGACAAGCAATCGCGCTAAGTCGGACACGGCCCCCTGCAGGAGGCGTGTTCAAAAACAGTCAAAAAACAGTGTGGGGGCGAGGTGTCCATCATTCTTCGACAAGCTTGGGCATCTTTTGAACCATGTCCCATGTTTCCTCCCAAATCCGCCTGTAGCTCGTCCTCCTCCAACCTCCTCCTCCTCCTCCAACCGCCTCCTCCTCCTCCAACCTCCTCCTCCTCCTCCTCCAACCTCCTCCTCCTCCTCCTCCTCCTCCTCCTCCTCCTCCTCCTCCTCCTCCTCCTCCTCCCCCTCGTCCTCCTCCTCCTCCTCCTCCTCCTCCTCCTCCTCCTCCTCCTCCTCGGGGGCATGCCCGACCCAGCAATGCTGGTGGTGCCCGTTCTCCACGCCACGACCTTCCGAGGCCCGCGCCCTTGACCCCGGGATCGGCAGAGCTCGGGGGGAGCCCCAGAGGGCGCCAGCCCTGGGGAGCAGCCCGGGCCTCGAGGGGTCCAGTGCGGAGAAGATCAAGACGTCGGAGCCCTGGGGGAGGAGGAGGAGGAGGAGGAGGAGGAGGAGGAGGAGGAGGAGGAGGAGGAGGAGGCGGAGGAGGAGGCGGAGGAGGAGGAGGTGGAGGAGCTGGTAGGATCATTCCCCCCCTCCCCCCAGCGGCGACCTCCCCTGGAGTGGGGGGGGGTCGGCGATCAGTTTGAACCTTGAGATGCCACCAGCGTGTCTCGTTCCCGGAGATGGGGGAGGAGGAGGAGGAGGAGGAGGAGGAGGAGGAGGAGGAGGAGGAGGCGGAGGAGGCGGAGGAGGAGGAGGAGGAGGAGGAGGAGGCGGAGGAGGAGGAGGAAGGGGGGGTCTCCTGACCTCGTCCCTTCCCAGCTCGATGTGCCCCGAGGCCCCCCCTGCATGGCCAGCAGGCGCGAGCGGGAGGCAGGAGCACCCGGAGCGGGGGCCGGGTGGCGCTGGCCGCCAGGAGGAGGCTCCAGCGGTCGCGGGGCCGATGGGCCAGACAGAGCTCGGGGCGATCGAAACGGGTACGGAGAGAAGGGGTACGATGCCCCACAGCAGTTACTCCAAATCCCTTATTAATCGACCCCCCCTACAAAACCTGACCCCCCTCCAAATGCGACCTGATATTCCGAACCCCCCTCTTCGACGAGGCGCCTTAATAAACTGGACCCCCAAAGGTCCAATCCAAAAAAAGCCCCCCAGTTACAAAAAAGGCGCCTTAAAAAGCATACCCGGGGGACGATTAATAAGGGATTTGGAGTACGGCGTGGGGGCGTTCGTTAAGGATAACGCGCATGAGGCTTCAGGCCCCGGAGGATTTCTCATCTGGCGAGGGCGGCAGTGATGTCCATGGCCAATCCACGATGGGATGTCCACCGGCTTCCAGACCTTTGATTCTTTCTCAAATGGTTCTTTATCCAATGCCTTCACCGTCCGTAGCCATTTTGGCTGAAGCCGATTTGTGGCACGGTCTCCCGGGGGTCCCGCGGCAGTGTTGTTGCATGGAGGCTGCTCTCGTCAAAGCGGCGGCCAAGGGCGCCGCCGAGGGCGGAGGCAGCCGCCAGGTGGTGGCAGCGGCGGTCGCTGCGGCCTGCAGGTGCGTCGTGGCTTCGACGCAGCCTGCGCAAGCCAGAGGCGACGGCGTCGAGGAGCTTGCGGTGCGCCCTGCCGCGATGGTTCCGGCGATGCTGCAGCGCATCCAGGGGCAGTGGCCCGACGGGAAGGCGCGCTCGCGCCGCAACGTCGGCGCTCACTGACGCCTGGGCGAAGCTGATATCCCGATCGAGCTGCTCGAGGAGGCCCTCCTGGCTGGACCCACAGCGTTCGCAGAGCGAGGCGCGCCAGCACGTGCAGGACACGGCGGGGAAGTCCGATGTGAAGGATGGCGCCGCCGAGGAGTCCACGGAGAGCGGATCGGCCTCGGAGATGGAGGACATGCCGCTCGCCGAGCTCATGAAGCAGATGCTGGGCGACAAAGCGGAGCAGACAAGGATAAGATCGCGAGCCGATCAGTGCCCCACGTGTTTGAGGGTAGGCATCAGGGGCGCGGGGTCGCGTGGGCTGAAGGCGGAGATCGGGGAGGCGGCGCAGGATGGCATCGACAGCCCCGTCAGAATGAAGGTGAATATCAAGACGCCTGCGAAGCGCAGGAAACCCAAGGAACCGTACTTCGAGGATGGTTCCGGACAAGATCGAGCACCTCAAAGAGTCCCACGAGTTCGACGGCAAGCAGCATGAGCTCAGGGGCATCTTCGCGATGGCCGAGGGCGTCCTGCAGGATTCGAAGCGGCAGGACAAGTTCGACGGCGGCGACAAGGACAACATCGACGACGGCGTGACGGTGTTGGGGGGCGGAGCGGCGACTCTCTGCGAGGAGCGCGCGGCCAAGCAGAAGGAGCAGGAAGGCGCCGCCAAACGCATCACGATTTTCAAGGGCTCGGGCGACTCGACGGCGCTGGCCGACGTGGTTCAGCTTGGCAGGACGGTCCAGCGCGCAGTGGCGCCGCCCCTGGCCCGTGCTCGGCCGTCGGCCGCTGAGGCCGCCACCGCGCAGGCTAGGGCTCCTGAGCCATCAGCTGGAGGGCTCGGAGCAGAAGGCGGCTGTGGGCTCCGAGGGGCTTGGCGAGCCCCTGCGCGCCCTCCCGCCCCCGATGGCCGAAAACGCGACCGTGCCCCCTCTCAGGGGAGGCCTACGGGGAGGCGCTGCGCAGGCAGGCGGTGCTCGTGGAGTCGGCCGAGGCCGAGGCCGCGCGGCGGGCGCTGGAGCGGCGCCAGGCGGAGTGGCGGCGCTGCCGTGCTGCTGCGGATGCGGCGGAGACCCAGCTTACCAAGCTCGAGGCCACCCGCAGGAAGCAGGCGAGCCGAGGCCGTGGCCCTCGGAAGTGAGCCTGGATGTGGCCTGAGCGGGAGCGGCGGCCAGGATCGAGGTTGCTCTCTTCGGCTGCCTCCGTGCAGGCCAACCGTAGGCGGCGTTGGTGCGTCTTGCGATGGACCGCCGTAATCCGCGCCTCGGCTCTGGGTTGTTTTCCCGTGATGTTCGACCCGAGGCCTGGTGGCCTCGGGGGACTCTTCGGGCGCTGTGCAGGCGCTCTTCGGCCAGCGTTCTCTGGGGTGTATGCATGCACGAGCCTCTCGGGGTCTTTGAAAAGCAACAAATGCCTTCACCGTCCTTGCACTGTTCATTATGAACAGGACTCGCTGTTCGCGCCGCCGCGGACGTAACCCCGTAAAAGCAAAACGAGCTGCATGCCCAACAGCGGCCGCTGCCGGTTTTGGACAACATGCGTTGTTGGGCATCGTGCCCTGTTTTTCCCGTACTTTTCTCGGGCGTCCAAAAGAGCAACCTCATTGAGGCGCTCCGCGGTCTGCAAACCAAGACAACCAACGCCCAGAACAGCACACGATGCAGGGTCTTCGCCGCTGTAGCCCTCCAGGACCATCCGAGAACCAGGCCCTGGGACATTCTAGCACTCGCTCGAGATGACAAACCAGCCCTCGGGATGGGGCCTTGACCTCTCTACAAAGGACGGATCACGAGGTCGGAGTTCGGGGGAGGTTCTGACATAGGTCCCACGGCCTCTGTTGGCCAGGCGCCACGGTGCGCTCTCCCCTCGGCAGTCCTGCGCCCCTCGAGGCACAGGCCGCTCCACGAGAGACATCCCTGGGCCGACGCCCGTCACCGCCGCCGTCTACAGTTGCCGCCAGGAGGTGTCCGAGATGGCGTCGTTGGCCTCGTCGCCATCGGCCGTCGCCGTCGTCGTCCGACCAGCACTGGGCCGGACGAAAAGGTAGGATAGGGAAAGGGGTGGGTACGATATTTGCTGCGTGCAGCGGGTTTCCGCCCCACTGCCAGGACCATTCTTCGATACAGCGCTTCCCGGCTCCAGGAAGCGCTACGAAAGCCAGCCACGCGAGTTGATTTTCTACCCTGTGCCCTCTGCTACCCTACCCTGTCGTGCCCCCCCGACAAAAGCCGCCGCCCTCCAGCTGCCAGCCGCCGTCGTCGCCGTCCCTGTCGTCCGCCGGTCGCCGTCCGTCGTCGTCCCGCCAGCTGCCGTCGCCGTCCGTCCGCCGCTGTCGTCCGCCAGCCGCCGGCCGCCGCCGTCCCGCGCCGTCCGCCGCTGCCGCACAGGAAGCGCACCAGGGGCGGCTGGGGCTGGCGCCGGGGGCGTCGCTGGATGCGGGCGGCGAGGCGGTCCACCGTCAGGCTCTCTAGCACGGTCAGGAACTTTGGCTTCGCGTGTCGCGCCGTCGCTTCGGGCCCACCGCGCCGCCGCGCGACACGCGAACCGCGTCCTAGTCTTCAGGCGTCAACGGCTCGAGCTTGCCTCCGCCCCACACCCCGCGGGGCGGAGCGACACGCTGTCCGCCAGCAGGGCACAGCGTGCCGCCGGGGCCGCAGCCGCGACACGCTAAGCACAAGCTCCCGTCCGTAGGCTCGAGGGGAGATGCATCGGCCCACAGTCTGTTGCAATCGCTGGCAAGGGCCCGACATTGCTTCACCCCACCCAGAAACGTGCGGGTTCGTTGTTGGGGGCACGTCGCCGATCTATCCGCAGTGTATCGTCGATTCAAGTTCGATGCGTGCCCTCTGATCTTAAGTCGGGCACGTCCCTCTACAGGAGGAATATTCAAACATTGTCCAAAAATAGTATGGTGAGGATTTGTTGCGTATGTTTGGTTAATGTTTCAGTATGTTTGGCTATTTTTGATGATTTTTCCTCTTAAATCAGCCTGTAGGGGGACATGCCCGACCTAACCCTGATCCCGTCCCCCCCGTACGTCCGGCAGATCTCTTGAAGCGGATCTGGCCGTTGCGATCTGGATGGACCATCAGACAATAGCGGAAGCCCTTCAGAGGCTCCCACCCAATGGCCAAGGCCAAAATCGCTCAACAACATCCTCGCCCCCTTTTTGTTTTTCCCCCTCTCCTTCATCCCCCCCTCCTCCTCTCTTATCCTCCGCCTCCCTCCTCCTCCTCCTCCTCCTCCTCCTCCTCCTCCTCCTCCTCCTCCTCCTCCTCCTCCTCATCATCATCATCATCATCATCATCATCATCATCATCATTATCATCATTATTCCTCCTCCTCATCGTCATCCCTCCTCCTCCTCCTCCCTCCACTTCCTCCTCCACTTCATCCTCCTCCTCCTCCTCCTCCTCCTCCTCCTCCATCATCATCATCATCATCATCATCATCATCATCATCATCATCATCATCATCAGCATCATCATCATCATCATCAGCATCATCATCATCATCATCATCATCATCATCATCATCATCATCATCATCATCATCATCATCATCATCATCATCATCATCATCATCATCATCATCATCATCATCATCATCATCATCATCATCATCATCATCATCATCATCATCATCGTCATCGTCCCCCCTCCCCACCCCCTCCTCCTCTTCTCATCCCTCTTCGGCCTTGCCAGCGGCGCAAGGCGGACCCAACACTGACGAAGAGAAGCATCCGTTCTTCTCCCTCCTCCTCGTCTTCCTCCGTCCCTCGCCTCCCTCCCCCTTACCACCTTTCTCCTTCTCCACGACCCCCTTCTGCCCTCAAGGCATGTGCCCCAAGGACTTCCCAGGGGTGCGCCTCCGAGCCGAGTTCGGAGGCGGACCCAGCCGTGGCGATGAGACGCCCCCCAGAGCCCCCCCACAAGGGCCAAGCAACAAGCAAAAGAAACATCAGACAGATCGGGGGTGGACAGGCCTCATTTGTCGCCCGGAATCCCCCTGCAGGGGGACACGCCCGAGCTGAGCCTAGCAAGCCCCAACGAGCACAGCACAGCACGCAACGTCCCCTCGCAGGCGGGCCTCGGAGGCGCGGCCGCCGCCCCGGACCCCGCGGCGGCGGCGGCCGCGGCGCAGAGCGAGCAGCTGCGGGAGGAGATCGGCAGGCTGCGGCTGCTGCAGCAGGAGCGCCGCCTCCGCCGACGGGCCACGTGGCCGGGGCGGGGCTGCGAGGGTCCGAGGGAGGAGGGGGCGGAGGAGGAGGAGGAGTCGGGGGCGGAGAAGAGGGGGGTGATGATTAAGGGGGGGGTGGATATCATGGCGTGGGCCATGATATTTCCCCAGATTCCATGGCGCCTCGTCTTATTTCATTACGTCCCTGGCCCCCTCGCTGGTCCGCGCACATGCCGACGGTCATGATTTGCACCCCCCCCTCTTGGACAACCCCCTCTTGGCCGCTCCCGAAGGAGAAGGAGTTCGAGCAGTGGCGAGGCACCCTGGCGTGCCTGTAGGCCCACCAAACGGTGCTCTAAGAACAAACCTTCTGGTGACATGTGTTTAGGACATTTCCGGCTGGGACCGTCTTGTTTTGAAAGCACCGGGCCACATGGCCGGGGCGGGTCTGCAAGCTTCGAGGGAGCAGGAGGCGGAGGAGGAGGAGGAGGAGTTCGAGCAGTGGCGAGGCGCCCTGGCATGCTTATATCGGGGGTGGACAGACCTCCTACCCTGACACGTCGACTAGTGAATGGGCCGTTTTCGGTTCGCGAGAGGGCGCCGCGGCCGTCATTTTTGCGGGTCCAGGTCCGTCGGTTTCGGTCCCAGGCCGGTTTCACTAGGGGGAGGTTTACTAAAGGGAGGTTTGTCCACCGCCGACTATAGGCCTACCAAGCAATGTTCTAAGAACCATTTGTGGTCTGCACGAAATGTGTTTAGGACATTTCCTTGTTTGAAAAAACATCGGGCTTCTGTTCTAAGAATATTGTTTTCGTTATTCGAGCATGTTGGGGTTCTAAGAACATATCGTGGTAGGCTTTTAGGAATGCCAGGACGGTCGGTCCCAGCTCAAGGAGTGTAAACCCAAGACGCATCAACGATGTTGCAACGAGCCCTCCCTCCAAGTTCCCTCTTCACAGGTTCCTGCAAGAATGTGTGCTCGGTATGGGAAGCGGTCCATTCGAAGACAACCGTCTGAGAATTCTCAATCGCGCCCGCGACAACACCATTCCTGGGACTTCAACGCCACGGATCAACGTGGCCCTTGCGTCTTGACAATCCTAGGTCGTGCTAGAACCCCATTCCATGTCAGAGTCAGCACTGCGCCCCCATGTCTCTTGGGATCTCGGGTGCGCATGGCTCGAGGCTGATTTTGCCCATTGTTATGTCGTTATGCTTTTCTCCCTCCTTTCGGCAGGATTTGATGTTGGGCATGGCTGCTTTCTCGGTCCCGCTTCTACCTGGCTGCCCCTCTCTACCGCCGACATGTGCAAGCATGGGCACTTCAGACGTTCGTTTTCAGGGCTGCGGGAAGAAGAATGACGAGCAGTAGCTCCACTGGCCTCCGAAAGTGCGATGGAAAGCCACCGAGGGCCTCCGGGGTAGCCTTGGTCGCCTCCAGAGCCCTCCAGGGGTCTTTGGAGCCTTTGGGGACATGTGCTGAGACCCCATCGGCGGCCTCAGGACACTCCGGGTCCAGGATCGAGATGTGAGGCTTATGGCAAATACGCTGTCATAAGGACCGCTCTGGGCTCGGGGAAGACCCTGGTTTTCAGGCCGTTCCGGTAACGCGAGACTGCTGGTGCACGGAGTGCCTGTCGACGCGCCCAGTGCGCGCGCTCATGGGCGCCCTCGGCCATGCGCAGGCGGGCTCGCGGCCTTTCTGTCGGCCTGCGTCGCGAGATGGCGGACGGGGTGGTTCAAGCGCTGCCCGCTGCTGTGCGCCAGCTGAGGGCCGCGGGCATCCCTGAGCAGGAGGGTCCAACCTCGAAGTGTCTGCGGCACGGTCTCGCGGAGACCGTCCGTGGGGCGGGTGGCCGCCTCAGCGACATCTTGAGGGCGGGCGGTCGGTCGCCCAGGACTTTCAAGCAAAACCTGGGCCGCCAAGAGCTCGAGTGCGCATGATTCCGCGCGTGCGCAGCTGCCGCCGCGCGCAGCTTGCATTGGGTGTCTGGCGTCGTCGGCAGCAGCATGCGGGCTAGCAGTGGGTGACAATGCCCGGACGTTGCCTCCTCGCCGCGCGCAGCGGTGGACTCTGCCACAGTGGCGGCGCCGCGCCGCAGTGGCTCTGCCACCGAGACGGCGCTCGCGAGGGGGCGCGTCACTCTCCCGTCGGCGGGGCGGGGCGCGCCTGGACGCTTGTCACCACCGAGTTGCAGTGGGCGCACCAGTTGGCTTGCGCGCGGGCACAATGCGCAACGGGGGCAGCGGGCGCGCGGCCGGCAGGTCCGCGTGCGGGCGGGGATCGGAGGCGCGCGCGCTGCCCGACGGGGCGAGCGCGCGCCGCGGCGCCGCGCAGGCGACCGCGGATTGTGCAGGAACGCGCAGGCCCGCTGCCGCTTGCGCTCTCCCCGCCCACCCCCACCGGGCGTGCCGTGTTGCGCGTGTTGGGCGCGACGGTGGCGTTGCGTCCAGGGGCGTCATGCCCGCGAGCTGCTCCCTCGCCGCGCGCCGCGGTGGACTCTGCCACAGTGGCGGCGCAGCGCCGCAGTGGCCTCTGCCACTGCGACGGCGCTCGCGAGGGGGCGCGTCACGCCCCCATCGACGGGGCGGGGCGCGCCTGCTTGTCACCACCGACGTGTAAAGGTGGACTCCATAGGGAAGGGGCCCGCGCTCGAGACTTCCTCGCTTTTCACTCAGCGACGAGGCTCTGGCTCGAGACTTCCTCCACACTCGAGCCGGAGGGGCCAAACAGTGACGACAGCAGAGTTCGGATGGTCCCGCTCGGATTCCAGCGTGCACGTGGGGACCCCATAGGGCGGGACTCCCGCTCGACACTGCCTCGCAAGTCACTTGCTGGCGATGCCCCTGTTCGAGTCTCCCTTCATATTCCAGCCCCAGGAGCCCAACACTGACGACAGCCAAACGGTTCGGATGTCGCCGCCATGAATCCATCATGGAGGTTGGGGCCACATAGGATGGGGTTCCCGCTCGATTCTCCCTCGCACACTGACGAGGCTCCAGGTGGAGACCCCTTGCAAGTTCAAGCCCGAGGAGCCCAAACTCGACAGCAGTGACAAAGTTTGGATGGCACCGTTCGGATTCCAACATGGGGGTGGCGGCCCCATAGGAAGGGGCCCCCGTTCGAGACATCCTCGGTAATCAATGTTTGGCAAGGCTCCCGTTCGAGGCTTCCTTCAAGTTCAAGCCCAAGGAGCCTGACAGTGACGACAGTTCGAGGGTTCGGATGGCCCCGTTCAGATTGCAACGCGGAGGTGGGGACCCCACAGGGAAGAGCTCCCGCTCAAGATGTGCTTGCTAAGCGTTCACTAACGAGGCGCCCGTTCGAGATTTCTTCCAAACGCAAACCGAAGGAACCCCAAAGTGAAGACAGCGTTGCGATTTGTATGGCCCCGCTCGGATTCCAACATGGAGGTGGGCCCCCTGGGAAAATGCGCCCGTTCGAGGCTCCATCGGTACAATCAACCCGCATCGCAAGGATGGGCAACCTTCCCAAGTGTACCCTTGCATCCTTGCAAATTTGGCCCATGCTTAGATATTTTCGCTGGCCAACCTCGTTCGAAACACGTTAACATGGGCCCCCAAGGCCCTTGAATGATGCGGGCTGGCTGTATTCACTCACTGGATATGCTCCAGCCCTGATTTCCTCCAGGTTCAAGCCGGGGGAGTTCAAAGCTGACAACAGTTAAAAGGTTCGGGTGGCCTTGCTCGGATTCCAACATGGACGTGGGGACCCCATTGGGAAGGGCTCCCGCTCGAGATTTCCTCGCTCGTCATTCGGTGACGATGATCCAGCTGGAGATGTCCTCTAGATTCAAGCCCGAGGAGCCCAACAGTGACGACACATGCAGAGTTCGAATGGCCCCGCTCGGAGTCCAACAGAAAGGTGGGGACCCCATAGGGAGGGACGCCCGCTCGATACTTCATCCACGACTGGGCCCTTGTTCGAGACTTCATCCAGATTCCAGCCCGAGATGCCCAACCGTGACGACGGTTGTTGATACTGGTGATGGTGATGGAGGTGAGCTGATGCGGATATGACTCGGGTGATGATGATGATGATGATGATGATGATGATGATGATGATGATGATGTTGCTATTTATGATGGTTGTGATGGTGGGGATAATGATGATGCTGGTGATGATGATGTTGATGCTTATGATGATGATGATGATGATGATGATGATGATGATGATGATGATGATGACGATGATGATGATAATGATGATGCTGATGATGATGATGATGGTGATGATGATGTTGATGAGGATGTATATGGGGGCCGTGATGATGATGATGAAGACGAGGCTGATGATGCTGATGATGATGAAACAGATGATGGTGATGATGGTGATGCTGATGACGATGACGATGATGGCGATGATAGGGGTATTATGATGATGGTGATGGTGACGATGATAACGATGCTGATGATGACGATTATGTTGTTATGACGATGACGGTGATGACGATGGTGGTGGTGATGCTGATCATGGTTATGATCCTGACGGTGATGATGCTGATGATGATGATGCTGATGATGATGATGGTGGTGGTGATGATGATGATGATGATGATGATGCTGATGCTGATGATCATGATCATGATCATGATCATGATCATGATCATGATGTGAGGGTGTTCCTGTTTCTGTGTTCCTGAGCGTGGGTGCCCAGAGAAAACAAGAGCCCCGTTCAGGATGCGGGGAAAACAGCATTGACAGTAAACGAGGCCCCTCCTCCGTGCGCCACCCTCTGCCAGACGAGGCCCCCCCCCCCCAGGCCTTGGCATCGCTCGGACGTGTGTTTTTTTCCTTCGGCGGGGACCATCGAGGAGCATCCTTGATCATTTGGCGGAATAACCACGCACGAAACCGAAAAAAACACAGGGAATGGACGTCCGAGCGATGGCCAGCGGCTGATGACAAGCGTATCCTTGGTACGGCAGGGGCATTGGATGAGGACTGTGCCCAGGAGGCGCTCAGACCCTGGAGGGCTCCTTATCTGATGAGGACGGCGAAGATAGCCGTGGCCAATCCACGATTGGAGTTCCACCAACTTCCAGACCCCGGATTCCTGATCCAACGCTTTCTTGTCCAGTGCCCCCACCGTGCTAGACGTTCTTCCGTGTCGTGCGCCAGCCGCTGCTAGATGAGGCCCCTTTCCCAAGGTTTTTGGGCAACAGACATCCTCGGTACCAGACGAGAGAGGGCCAGACATCGAGGTCCATGGCGACTGCGGTCAAACACATAGGCATCGTAGGCCATCCCCTCCTCTACTTCCTGTCCTTCCCCCTCGGTCCTTTTCCCCCTTTTCCACCTTCGCACTTTGCTGATCCTTGGTACTAGACTCTTATGATGTTCCAACCTACTGTAGCCTTGATCACCAAGAAGAACTTCGAGCACCAAGAAAGTACCAAAACTATAGGTTTTTGGCGTGCCGGGCCATGGGAGGCGACACTCGCTCGACACTGTTTCGATACTTTCCTGGGTGCTCGAAATTATGTTTTGGATGTGGTCCGTAAGTACGATGGGAGCAACATGCTACTAGACGTGCCTCTCGGCCGTGGTCCGGCCATTGCCACCCAACCCCCAACCCCAAGCAGATTCATTTGGAGGCCCGAAATGGCTACGGAAAGAATGGGTACAATGCCCAACAGCAGTTCGGTATCGGTGTCGCCGCGGCATGTGTCCATTTGAGTCAGCAGGCCGCCTGCCCAACAGCGGCCGCTGTTGGTTTGGGACAACATGTGTTGTTGGGCAGTGTGCCCACTCTTTCCGTACCCATCTCGGGCGCCCAAATAATGATTCAGGAAGCACCCCTGGGTGCGAGGCGCGCACCTCTGCCGTGCACCGCCCGCTGCCAGCTCGAGGCCCCTCCCCGAGCGGACCACCAGAAGCAGCCTTGGTGCTCGGCGTGCCCGTCATCTGCTGCTGGCCGCCCGCTGCCAGGCGAGGCCCCTCCCCGGGCGTCCGCGCGGCGTTTGGGGGCTCCCAGAGGCGTGGAGGTGTTTGAAGGGGCCCGGTGGGGAACCGAAAACAGCCTGTCTCTTCAGGCAAAACCTTGGTGGGGAATGGTTGAAGAGGCCCAGGGGGGGGAGACTCCTCCTGGACCCCTCACCCCCCTCCCCAAAAGAAGAACCTCCCTCGGGGTTTCTCGGAGGGGGTCTCCGGGGGGACCCCCCCTAATAACCTCACCAACCAACAAAAAGCCCTGAGGCCCTCAGGGTTTTTGTTGGGGGGGCCCGGGAAAGATTACACCAAAAAACTTCTTGAGATTTCCTGAGGGAGGTTTTGCGGGGGGGTCCAGGGGGAAAACCCTTGGAGGGGTTTGGGGGAGGGCCTGGGGGGGGGGAATCCCCTCAGCCTCCCCTCATCTTTCGTTTCCTTCGCCCTCCCCCCGCCCCCCTGTTGACCAATCCAGGCTTACGGCACCGTTTGCGCCCATCAGCCGCTGAGCACCAGCGCTCGGTACTTGGTTTGCATGGCCTTCCCAGGTGACTCGGCTCGCACGTGTCTCGTATCTGAGCATGGCGTCTGTGTTGGATTCGTTGTGCATCTTTGAACTGTTGCCGCTCGTCTTGCCACGATCCAGTATGATGCCTGGACGCCGATCACTGGGGAAGCAGGACGGTCGTGTCTTCTCAGTGTCCACCCCATGCGCAGCGATGGAGAAAAGGCGCATGCAATCCCCCATTGCCCCACCACTCTCCTTTCCATCACTGCCTTTCTCTCTGGGGCACCCCTGTAGGCCCTCCTTCGGCCACGCAGGGTGGACAGCGGAGCGTCTGTGAGGGAGCCTCGTGGCCTTGCGCCCGCACCGCCGACGTCGCCGTCCTGACGTGTCCGCCCCGCACCTTCCCCCCAGAGAGGTGCGCTGGGAAGCAGAAGGGCTGAGTCGCCTCGTACCCAGCCATCCGGCGTCTCGATCTTTCTCGAGACACGGGCCCCCGACCTCTCGACGGCTTCCCCGGCACCCGTTTTTCACCCGAACGCGCGTTTTTGGACGGCCCCGGGGCCCGGTAAGGGCCCCGAGAGGCCCAGCACTACGAGACACCTCTGTCCCGCGCGCACCGCTCAGGGCCAAGACGAGACGCAGTGCACTACCCAGACATCCAGCGTCTCGAAAAAATCGGGACGGACGTTTCTCGTATTCTTCCGCCTCGCCGAGCTCTGACCGGGCCTCGGGGCCGTCCAAAAACGCGCGCCCATGGGGTGAAAAACCGGTGCCGGGGAAGTGGTCAAGAGCCCTTCTGCGTCCTGGCGCAGCTCTGGGGGGATGGGGGAGCGGACACGTTAGGACGGCGATGTCGGCGGTGCGGGCGCAAGGCCACGAGGCTCCCTCACAGACGCTCCGCTGTCCACCCTGCGTGGCCGAAGGAGGGCCTATAGGGGTGCCCCAGAGAGAGAAAGAGAGAGAGAGAGACAATTAGTGATGGAAAGAGGAGTGGTGGGGCAAGAGGGGCAAAATCGAGACGCCGGATGTCTCGGGAGGTGCTTCATAGTTTGGGGCCTCTCGGGGCCCTGACCTGGCCTCGGGACCGTCAAAACACGGCCGGGGGTGGAGAACTTATCCTGGGGGTCCCGGGGAAGTGGTCGAGAGGTCGGGGGCCCGTGTCTCGAAAAGATCGAGCCGTTCTTTTGACGGTCCTGAGGCCACACATTTGTTGTTTCAAAAAATTTGCAGTTGTGAATGCCTGGGTGGTGCGTATCCTCTTCGGTGGAGCTTCCCCATGGGCCCAAAACGTGTGAGGGGTGTGCCGAAACGGGAGCGGTGGTGCCATGCGGGCGCTGCCACTGGGGCCTTAGGTGCAGCTCCCTATGGGGCCACGAAACGTGTGAGGGCTGTGCCGAAACGTGCGCGGTGGTGCCATGCGGGCGCTGCCGGGGCCTTAGGTGGAGCTCCTCATGAGGCCTGAAACGTGTGCGGGGTGTGCCGGAGTGGTGCCATGTGGGCGCTGCCACTGGGCCCTTCGGTGGAGTTCCCTATGGGGCCCGAAAGGTGTGAGGGGTGTGCCAAAGCGGGTGCGGAGGTGCTACGCGGGCGCTGCCTTTGGGGCCGTAGGTGCAGCTCCCTATGGGGCCGCGAAGCGTGTGAAGGGTGTACCGAAACGTGCGCTGTTGTGCCATGCGGGCGCTGCCACTGGGGCCTTAAGTGGAGCTCCCTATGGGGCCACGAAGCGCGTGAGGGATATGCCAAAACGAGTGCGATGGTGCCATGCGGGCGCTGCCACTAAGGCCTCAGCTGGAGTTTTTATGCGGCCATACAACGTGTGAGTGGTGTGCCGAAATGGAGTGCGGAGGGCAGAGGCAGGGATGGCAGGAGGGGGGGAGGAGGAGGAGGAGGAGAGGAGGAAGGAACGAAGGAACGCGGGGCACTGTTTCTTCGAAGCGAGGACCCAACAGGATGGCTGGGAAACAACAACTCCTCTCGGCCTTGCTTGGTTAAGTAGTCCTCTTGTGTGCTGTTGTCCGATCACAACGAAAATCAACAACAATGTGAGCAGCTCCTCTGATCCGCAAACCGCGGGCAATATGAATATCCAGATCCACTGCGTTTTGGATTTTCTTGGAAGGGGTACCGCAAGGCCGAGGCTTGTCCCAGTACCCTTCAGTCGGGCAGGAGGAATCTTCAAAAATGCCTCCCGCCTCGCGAGATAGAGCGACACGCTCTCTCAGCTCGCAAAAGGTGCACAGTCAAGGACGTTTTTTTTTCTCGGATGGTGTGCCGCGCCGCCAGCTCTGGCCTGCCATGCCTCGGGGCAGCGCGCTGACCTCAAGTCGGGCGTGCCCCTCTACAGAAGGAGTATCCCAAAACAGTCACAACATAGTCGCGGGATGACTTCTGACCATTGGTAACGACTGATGTTTCATAGGTTGTTTGACTGCTTCAGACATTGTTCCTCGAACATCCGCCTGTGGGATGCCACGCCCGACCTGACGCTGACCAGGCTCGGGCCCACACGCGTCCACGTCCCGAGCTGTTTTTCCTACCTCCCACCTCGCGGGGCAGGGCCACACGCCATCCGCGTGCAGGGCACGGCAGGTCGCCGGGCGCCGCTGGGCCACGCGCGGCAGAAGTTTCGGACAGCAGCGTGGCGCAGCGGCCGTCGCCGCGACATGCCAGCAACATAGTCTGACGGTGGCCACTCTGGTTGTGATAATCTTGGCGTAGGGTACCTCGTTTCTTGTGCGCATCGGTTCTGCAGCGCACCCACGTCGTCGCCTAAGACTTGCTCGAGGCACAGAGGTGAGAAACACAGAAGGATGTGCATGGGGGCGTGGCTAGGAGCTCCTGGACCAGCAGCGTGAGCAGCTGAAGGCGCTAATGCAGGGCTGGGTTGACCTCTCTGCGAGGAGGGGGATGATGTTGAATGTGGTGTCAAGCGGCATGCCAAAGCTCGGTGAGCTTGCCACTGCGTTGGAGGCGAATTGGATTGTGGCTCCCAGTGTCTGAGTTAGACTTCGGCTTAATCGAGCATGTTCAAGTCCCTGCTACCCGCACTGGGCTAAACTCCCGCGCCGCATGGTCATCCAGCTAGCGGTTCCATGCGTTGCTGAGGTGGGCACCTTCTGGAAAAGCTTGCATCCAACCAAAGCCCCGTGTTTCTTTGCCAGAGGCTCCCATGTTTGATGGCAGCAGGTATCACAACATCAGCGTCTCTGCTCGGGCCGCACACGCCCAGGATTTACCTGCATACGTTGCGCATACCATGTCATTCCCACCTCTAACATTGAGTCAGGCCTGTCCCTCTACAGGGGGACTTGTCAAGAATAGTGAAAAATAGTCAGGGGACGATTTTCGGACTATCCTTCATCATTTGGGAAGATTTTTGAGCGTACTGAGTTTTTCTTCCAAAATCCGCCTGCAGAGGGACACGCCCGACCTAACATTAACAATCGACTGGCCGTCGGTCCATCCCGCCACCGTGCATGGGTCGTGGGTCAGCGGCGTGCTGGATGCCTCTCGAGGCACCACGGAATGCCTCTCGGGGGCCTCTCTTGTGGGGCCTCTGCTGGGGCCCTTTCGGGGCGCCTCGGGGGTCCCCTCGGGCGCCTTTTGGGCGCCAGGCTCGGGGTCTTGGCAACCATCTTGGGGGAAAGGCTCCCAGTGTCCCTTCGCGCTCCCCCTTTTTCGCTTCTTCTTGCCTCCCCTTGGGGGGTCTTCAGTGGCCGTCTTGGGGGCCTCTGGGGTCGTCTTGGGGCCCTCGTGGGCCATCGTGAGAGCCTCTTGGGCCGTCTTGGGGCGGTCTTGGGGCGATCTTGTAAGGGTCTCTTGGGCCGTCTTGGAGGCCTGAAGCTCGAAGGCGCGAGTGCGCAAGATCTGGGGAGCCCTCCTGAGGCGTCCTGGATGCCTCTTGGTCGGTGTGCCTAGCGGCATGGTGGCGGAAGCTAAGTGTCGTGTGCGTCACCGTAAGTTTATAGCACCCTACGAGGTTGCCTCGCCCATGTCCACATTGCACTGCACTGCGCTGCCTCAGATTACGCACGTAGCAACAAGCATTGTCTTTGTTTACGCTACCTTGCTCTCCCAAACCTGACCTGACCTTGCCTGGCCCACTTCAGCCACACCGAGCCTAACCCATCCTAACCCTTACTCCAGCGCTCTCTAGTCCATCCCACTCTTGCTAGCCCAGTGCAGTCCCTGATATTCGTCCCCAAACAGTGGTTCAACCCGGTGGAGGGGGGCAGCGTGATTGAGATGCGCTTCGCCAAGTGATGATCTCGCGCAGCTTCGCTTCGCACGCGCGACTCGAACCGAAACCGAAGTCCGATGTCCGAGGGGGGCATCGTGGCACTCCCTTTCAATTCGGCACTCGCCATACATGAAAGTGGTCCTCAGGGAAGTGCGCCCGGGGCCCCGGGGTTTTGGAGTGTCCCCCTCAGGACAAGCCAGTTCTTCATCCTGAGTCGTTGTTTGAGGGCTCTGGGACCTATGGAAGGCCCGGGGTCCCTGAACATTGACAGAAACACCCTGGAAAGGAAGCGTTTGCTCCACGCGAAGGTATACCCCCCAGCTTCGAAGGTGGGGCAATCGCGAAGACGTGCCACACAGCCCCCGGCAGCCTGGAGGCTCCAGCGGGGATTCCCTGGAACCGCCCGCTGCAGTCTAGAATGTCGTGTTGGTGAGGGGGAGTGGTACCGAGGATGGGTAAAGTAGCAGTTTATTTTGACTCGAATTTTATTTGTTTGGGGCGGTTTCGCAGGCAATATCCGGTCATCGGCGATAGTTTTGGGTTGCGCCAGAGCGGAGTTTCGATAGGCAGCTCCAAGCGTGCCACCAAGTGCAGCGTTGATGCTGCTTGTTCTTTTCTGTCCACCCGCACATCTTGCACAGCGAATATTCACGAAGACGGAGTCCCTTACCCAAAGAGTCGGGGATCCTTCTTGCTCCTACACCCCTTGCTCCCCCATCTCTTTCTGGGTTCGTGTGTGATCTCAACATCGGGTAGGGTGGGGGTGTCCGTGGGGCTGCGTTCTGGTCTGGGCGGCAACTGTTTCTGCACGAAGCAAACCTTCGGCTGCCTTACCATGGGTACCAGGTATTGTTCAGAATGGCTACGGTGTCGAACGCATGCGTACTCAGGTCAGGGAGAGGGTGCCCGAGCGGTCTTACTCTGTCCCTGCTCGCGTTCGTCTGTCCCTGCTCGCGTTCGTCCGTCTTGGGGTCGTCTCTCAGGCGGCCACTCTGGGAGGCCACACTGGGAGGCCACACTGGGGGGCCACACTGGGGGGCCACGCTGGGAGGCCACGCTGGGAGGCCACGCTGGGAGGCCACGCTGGAGGCCACGCTGGAAGGCCACGCTGGGGGCCACGCTGGATAGCTTGGAGGGCTCACCGAAGAGGGGCTGTGTGTCTGTAGCGGTTTCAGTTCAAATCCTGCTAAGAGCGAGCGCGCCGTGTCTTCTAAGAGCGCCGCCAAGCACCCTTTCTCTTGTCCGCAGCTGCGGGGGATTATGTAAATTGTACTCTACACATAGCTATGGTAGTGATCCAAGCACTACGAGCTTAGAACGTTGTCGTTGTCCGAGGTCGATGGGGTTCTGCCGTGCAGCATGCTCACATCAAAACGTCTCCTCCATGTGTTTGTGAGTTTGCGAAATCACGCTCAGTTGATATACTCGGACGCAGTGCCATCTTCGGTCGCACCAATACCTCTGGAGTAGCAAGTGATGGTACTTTGAATACTTTGGAGATGCAGCAGCACTGCAGTGGGCAGCGCTGTTCTGCAACATCTGGGAGAAGCCCGAGGCAAGTAGTGGTGCAGCAGGTTCAGATGGTGGCGCTCAGGCGCGCAAGCAGTTGGCAATAGCGTGGACAGTAGAGGCGATGGAATACATCGCATTGAAGTTAAGACAGCAGTGATATGTCAGTTTCTGTCAAATACCAGGATCCAGCCTATGTGGCCATGAAGTCCGCCAGCGGCATAGAGCATGTCCCGAGCAGCTTCCGCTTCTTGGTTGCTGCGTTGGCCCCTGTCTCGAATGTGGCTGGGCCGCGGCAGCGCGCGCACAATTCGCAGGCTCTCGCCCAGTTGCTCGCCCGCTTCGCCACGACGGAACACGTTCGAGCCTAAGCGATTCTAAAGTCAGTCGTCTATTTGTGACCATCGCGCATCAAAAAGAGCTCGAGTGCACCGCGGCTTCCTTTTTCGCACGAGGCCTCGCAGCATTGGATGTCCACAGCCCCGACGCCTCCAGGATGCTTCGAGATCGAGGGCCGGCAGTTTTAAGCCGGGCCTGTCCCTCTACAGGCGGACTATTGAAAAACAGGCAACAATTTGTCTGGGGACGATTTGCTTTACAATCTTTATTTGTTCTTGAATACCTTTGGATATTGTTTTCCAAAATCCGCCTGCAGGGGAACGCGCCCGACTCGACGGTGGCTGCTGGCCCCTCGGTGGCGTGCGCGGTCCACGTCTCCGAGGGCGACCCCCCCCCTCCCTGGGGGGCCCGCCTCCTCTGCCTGTTGCCGTGCGCGCGGATCTGGGTCGGCGGCGAGCGAGGGGAGGGGGGAAGTGAGGAGGAGGAGGAGGAGGGGGAGGAGGAGGAGGAGGAGGAGGAGGGGGAGGGGAGAGGAGGGGAGGGGGGGGGGGGGGGGGGGATGGGGGTGGGAGGGAGAGGAGGGGGGAGGGGAGGGGGAGGGAGAGGAGGGGGGGAGGGGGAGGAGGGGGAGGGGGAGGGGGGGGGGGAGGAGAGGAGGAGGAGGAGGAGGAGGAGGACTTCTCAGAAGGCGGTGGGACTTCTCAGAAGGCATCGTGCCTTCTGAGAAGTGCTCTGCGTCTTCGGAGGGGGCTCGATTAGGACAGCCTCTTAGAAGGCGAGGGCTCTTCCGAGCCTTCTGAGAAGGCCCGCCGCTTCTCACTTCCCCCCCCCCCGGCGCGACGCCGACTCCTCATCGGTGAAGGAAGCGCAAGGAGTCAGGCTGATAAAGTTCAAGGAGCTGGCCAGCGATAGCCCCGTTCGGAAGAACAAATACGCTACCCAGGAACCCCACATACTTATAGTATGTCCGGTGTGATGATAGATGGCATGAAACATGCGAGAATGATGCTGGTGGCCGCTGCCCCGCCGATACCGTTGGCGACGCCGATCAGGAGGAGAGGAGGTCACTGGGGGCTCATTTCCAGGGCGGCGACAGGCGCTTCGGTCACGCAGGACACGGAACGCGATCTTCGTAGCAAAGCTTCCGCCAACGCCCAATTCGCAAACATCAGAGAATCCTTTCGACGGAGAGTCTCCGCAAGCGCTCTTCTATGGAGAATCTCTCAGCGGGGGCCGCGCCCCGTGCGCGTGCTTATGGCAGACTCTGTCAGCGAGATCGCGGAGCGCTATGGCCTGATTGTAAGCGGGCTTAACGGTGTCTCCGCGCCCACGCATGTCCAGGTCTTCGCTCCGGATTCCCTGATGATATCCGGATCACCTCGATCCTGGCTTGCATCAGCGTCTCCCACGTGTGGTTGTTGTCCAGGGCTTGGACCGAGGTCTGCAACGCATACCGCCCCCACCCCCAGCGCACCCCCTGTGGCGTCGAGGAAATGCCACGCGTGCCACGCCCTGCGAGCCTGCAGCGCATAGCGCCCACACGCCCCAGCGCACCCCCTTGGCGCCGAGGAAAAGCCACGCCTGCAACGCCCTGCGAGCCTGCAACTCGTAGCGCCCCCACCCCCAGCACACCCTCTGTGGCGTCCAGGAAATGCCACGCCCTGCAAACCTGCAGCGCATACCGCCGCCCCCAAGGCACCCCCTGTGGCGTCGAGGAAATGCCACGCCTGCCACGCCCTGCGAGCCTGCAACGCGTAGCGCCCCCACCCCCAGCACACCCTCTGTGGCGTCCTGGGAATGCCACGCCCTGCGAGCCTGCAGCGCAGTGCGCCCCCGCCCCCAAGGCACTCTCTTTGGCGTCGAGGCAATGCCACGCCTGCCACGCCCTGCGAGCCTGCAGCGCATAGCGCCCCCACCCCCAGCGCACCCCCTGCTGGCGTCCAGGAAATGCCACGCCCTGCAAACCTGCAGCGCAGACCGCCCCCCCCCCAGCGCACCCCCTGTGGCGTCGAGGAAATGCCACGCCTGCAACGCCCTGCGAGCC